TGCGGCGTGACCTAGTTTCGACGGACACGCGCAACGAAGCGCACCCGAGCAGGGCGATACCACTTCGCTTAAAGTTGTCAGTAGCGCTCCCGAAAACATCCATCATTTGGTATGGGAAGAATTGGGAGTGAATGTCGATGGCCGCTACTTACTTCATCTCTGCTTTGTAGTGTAGACTTCATCTCTGGCCTAATTGAACAGCGCTTCTGGTGGGAAGATCGGCTTAAGGCTGAAGGGTGCGGAGCAGGGCGATACCACTTCGCTTAAAGTTGTCAGTAGCGCTCCCGAAAACATCCATCATTTGGTATGGGAAGAATTGGGAGTGAATGTCGATGGCCGCTACTTACTTCATCTCTGCTTTGTAGTGTAGACTTCGTCTCTGGTCGAATTGGACGGCGCTTCTGGTGGGAAGATCGGCTTAAGGCTGAACTCAACGAAGACGATATTCATGAGGAAAAACCGGTACCTGATGCTTCCTTTACTCTAGACGTGAAAAATATCTCTGAATGCTCTATACGTGTATCTAGGTTGAGAAGTCAACATGATGAAGAAACTAGCTACGGAGCTGAGCACAAGGAAATGCGCGGCGTGTGCCCGACACTGTATACGATATTTTGGTGAGCGTTGGACCAGGGCGGCTACGCACGGGATCCCTCGATAGTCAAACGAACATCAATACGGTTGGAAGCGTGATGGTCATCACAAATGCTGTTGACGAAATAACGTTTTCCGCGAGTTGAGGACGGCTACGCGAAAAACACGAATGGAGACGTTACTCCCGAGGAACTCGACGATCAAAGGGACGTGATACATGTAATTGATTCTAAATGAGTAAATTTGTGAGCGCTCAAAGTTTACTCGCCCAAAGATGGAGAGATAGTGCCAAATGAAATGCGCGCTTATTCGCAGAAACCCCTAGGTCGCCACGGCTTCCCTTACCAGACGAGCAATGAGAGTTTGCTTCCCGCCGTCGTCCCCTGTTTTTGCTGAACGTGTTTACTTTCGAATAGCATTGTTTTTGTTCTTAATTCATTACCGCCTCGTTTCGGCTATTTGTGAATAACGCACTTCTCTTCCAAGGTGACTCCTTCTGTGTAGGTCTTGGCGTCGAGTTCGGAAATGGAAGAGGCTAATTGAATTCACGTGGCCTCGGCATTTCAATAAGCGACGTGGACTAGACGGGATCGTAGCTATTCGGTGACAGGAGCTGATAACAACTGATAACAGATAAAGGGTTTAGGAGAGTAAAAGCCATTTCCCGATCAGAATCCTAACCCTTCGGTATTTACGATGTAGCTTTGACCAATCAGTATTTTTCATTCGACAAGACTTTATGGTAGAGTAGGGTGACAAAAGCAAGTTGTAAGTGCAGTGATGGGGACATTAGCGGCACTACTATAAGCAGATGATAATTTTGTTCATTTCTTGCCATTAGATTACGACCGCTACCCAGCAAGAATTGTGATTCGATGGAGGATCCTCTTTGTTCACTTCCCTTTTTACCGACTCATTTAGCAGTTTAATTTCGAGTTTCAAATAGGTCCCTTTTCAATGTTGCATGGGAAGTTAACACTTACGTGGAAAGACACTGCTGAGTAACTGGACTGAATTGACTTGACATAAATGTAGCTCAAGACACAACTTATCTTCAGCTCTACATGTAAAAGGAGTCGGTCTGCTTTATTTGTCCTGCTACTCAGATTTGTAAGCATTAGAACTACCTCTTCAGGTATCAGCTAGTGGATCATCTTTGTATTACATGTGTAACTCTACAATTTAAAGCAATACGCATTTATTGATAAACATAGAGCATTTAAGTCTGCACTGAACGATATTTAAGCCAGCTTCACATGTAAGATACATGTCATGAGATATAAAATCGTAAGTAATGATCACAACCCAATGGGAAAATGCGTAAAACGATTGCTCCGATAAATGATTGGTTTGAGTAGTATTCCTCGAGCCGGCCAACTTTTATAATCACAGATAAATAAGGGGTAAATCACAAACATTCTACACAATTTGTAAGCCTAATAAGTGAAGTGTGAAGTAGTCTAGCGTAGGAAACAATTTGCGCGACATTGTCCGAAAATCGAAGGATGGCTCGACATCAGTTCCACAGGGACGCACCAGCGTCGAAAGACGTGACGAGCTAGCTTTATCCAACGCGAGGATTTCAACTTGTCGGAAATGTTCAATAAATGCGTACCAAAAACAACGAGGGAGAAAAATGACAGCAGTGAAAGGGTACAATGCTTGTGGATTTATGTAAGGGGCTTCTGATGGACCTTGACTGATAAGATCACAACGTTTACAAACGCCTGTAAAGAATACATTACAATTGCCTAGCATTGTTCGGTATCCATACATATGGTCGCGCTTCATTGGCGATAACATGCTGCACACGGCCGAGAACTTCTTCCGCAGACTGCCCGTGTGAAATTACTTCTAAAATAATAGTTATTACAGAAGAACAAGAGATTAAACAAATCAAACGATTTTTGCTCCCGCGGCGACCTCAACTGTCGCTGTTTGGAAAATTTCTCCTTTCTTGTTATGAGTGACCTCGATCACCTACGAGTGAGGCAAGACACCTTCAAACGTTGAAAATGGCATGCCCTTTCATTGCACAAACTAATACTTCTTTGTAGCGAGCAAGCATACCATATTCTAAACTACCTATCTATTGCCCCCAACTTGTGAAGGAATTTCCTAATATGTATTTACACGGCGGCTCTTATATCTAGAAAGAGGTCGTGTCGGTACCGGAATTAATTCTTATAGCAGCATTCTTGTCAAAAGGAAAGCGATGTACAACGCGGCCCAAGCGTGGCTTTCGGTAGACTACTAAAAGGCGCTGAAGGTGAAAATTTGGGATTCCACATTCGCTATTCACTCTCCGCAAAGACCTAGATCCCTCAAACGACTACACGAAACACTTCTGACAGCCTGAAGACGGTCCCCCCCCCCNCCCCCCTCACTCAGCTTAAGATCATTAAAAGTTGCAATTGCAGCTCCATAGAGGATACACATAATTCTAAGGATACTAATCAAAAGAATCTGGAAAGATCTACTTCAACATTAATTAACTCATCACAGGCTAATTAACTTCCCCTTGTTTGATCCCCTGCTATCATAGAGGAACAAACAAGGGGAGCTCAATCGGCTATAGCATCTGGCAATAAATGAAGTTAACTTTCTGTTGCATTAAATATAGTACCGCCAAAAAATGGTATGTAAATTACAGGATTCGCTTACGTGTGAACAAGTCTCCAAATGTTTGCTCCAGTCGTTGGCATCGTTGATATTGCTGCATGGCTTCATCCTCGTTCATTGAGTGATCTAATTGCCTGCAACGACAGTACTACCACCTGTTCACAAAAACATCAATAAATGCTCAGCACGCACATAATGTGATGATGACTGGTTGGTTTAATGAAGATTGCGATCGGGTAAATATTAGCAACCGACTGAAGACGCCGAATAGCGTTTCCACTCACATCCAGAATGCAATGACGACCCTGCAATCACGGATTACCAGCATAATGTAATTCGAGGGATACCTTAGATACCAAATGCCTCGCACCTGCTGCGCGACCATTCGTACGCTGTCAATACTTGTTCCATATAAATTATTTTGGAATTGCCCTGCTTCAATGAACAAGTTGTTTTTGACATCGTGCTCCATCTGAGCTTTGCTTACGAAGTGGTAATCTCTACCGTCAACCTCGTGTTCTCGTGGGGGTCTAGAAGTGTCTGAAAAATTGAGAAAATATTAACACAAATGTGGGTCCTTTTTTAGGTGCATCAATGAACAATTCGTTAGTAAATGAACCAATTTTGAACCATAAAGCTAAAATTCAACCGGTTAAATTGTAAGCGTGTCCGCTCCCTCAATTACGTAGTTAGCTAACATATCCAGCAACAGATCAATTTCTTTCAACTCATTTCCCTGCTTTTCTTTGACAAAACAAAAAAATTCATGGACTCAAACAACTTACGAGGAACACAGCTGCTGAAGCGATCCGGATTTCTTGTAACTAATTCGTCATTGATTCTATCCTTCAGCGCTCCGAGAATGATGACTGGGCGAACATAATTCACTACAAACCTCATTTAATAAAACTTCTTCGCTATGTGCAAAGGCTAAATTAAATAGACGAAACTCACATGATTGTTGTTCCACAACTTGGTATGAGAAGATCGGATCTTCGCTTACGCCTACTGAAAAGCATTTCGGAATGAAAAATTCCAATTTCACACACATGTTTATGTTATTAGAAGTCATGCATGATTAAGGCACACCAAGCGTACACTTAGTTCATCTCAGATCGAACACTACTTACTACAATCACTTTCGCTAGTGTATGACGTGTAAGTGACCGTCGTTCCAGTTGCTCCTAACATAAAAAAAACGCTATATGAAGTATAATCTGAACTTAAGCCTCTTAAGCAGAAGCGTACTTCGGAATATTACACGACAATGAACAATCGTGAGCAGTTACATTTTTCGACTGTGTTAATAATTCATCTCTTCCGCCATACTAAAAGGTAGATACCATCTACCAAGATGGAGCCCTATCTTATACACAATTTTCACTAAAGACAGAGTATTCCTACGTGCCAGGAAAAACGATAGGTACAGACTCACGTTCTTGGTCAGTGAATTCGTTCAAACGATCGGTACTCTTCACAAATGGGAACTTCCTTGAAAACGAAAGTTGACTTTTGCTGCCTCGTCTGCCCTCCATACCTCCTATCTGGCCAGCGCTGCGACCCAGAGACATAGAGCCAGCATTGAAATTGACCTGCAAAGGTTTACAATGAAGGAAAAACAGACTAGCCTTCAAAATATTTAGTGTCAAGCTTGTTTGATTAACAACAAACATAGTATCACCTGTTTTCTTCGTGCCCTTTCCCTTTTCTCTATGCGTTTCTTTGAGGGAATCACTCCTTCTTGAGACTCCTCGCCATTTTCCAGAATCTGAATCATTCAGATAAATGCTAACTTTCTACATCGCTTTTTGTATGTGGACCATATGCATCGATAAAAGACATTTACGATTACAACCATGACCAAGTCCTTAGCTTTAGAGCGAACGTTTCGGAGATATACATTGATCTCGAACGAGTATATTTCACCTTTTTAGCAGTCCACCAGTCATCATCTGATGTATTCATCACGTGCAAAATGTCACCATATTGGAAAGATATGGATCGGTGGGGAACGCCGACTTCACGGGTGTGATCATAATCGAACAGTGCCCTAAATATAATAACAATATTCGAGAAATGGTGTCCATAATGGAGTAGTCCCTTCAACACTAGGAAAAACTTTCCAACAACTACTTCTCCCAGTAGCATTACATATAACTGACTACTATATCAACATCGACGTTAATCACGCTATAATGACGAAAATGACTCACTTAACGAATAAGTCCTTTCGCGGGAGCGTTCCACCCGTAGAATTTGCCTGAATCATGTCGTTGCGCAATCGCTCAATCTTCGCTTCAAACTGCTGGTAATCTAAAATATTTTCGAACCTGTATATGTAACATGTTCTCCTTCTGAAAGAATCATAATACCAAAAAACAGCCTGCTCCCTGCCAACAGGAGATCAGACTAGAGCACTCAGAACAATTCAATCGAGCAAACAATAACTGGCAGCCTCATTCCCGTGTATGACCATATCATACTATAATATATGTAACGCGCTGTGCATGTGTACGTGTGTGTACGTTTGACCGCAAATTCATTACTCTTGTTCCAGTGAACCAAGAGCGTTCGAATTTGATAGGACAGCAGGAGGCAGGATGAGAACACTTATGGTGGGTGGCAAAACGAACTTCGCTCACAGCGGGCGGGTTTTGCGCAAAATAGATGTTTGAGCGAAATTCCTAGCTCTTGCTCCCTTTGACCTAGAGCGTTTCAATTTGGTAGGATTACAAGCGGGAACACTGATGATAGGTGTCAGAACTATACTCCGCCCACAGGCGATGTGAGCATAAACTGTTTATCTGGGCCTGGAACGTTCTAATTTTGTAGGCGCACAGGAGGCAGGATAGGAACGCTGATGATAGGTGATAGAAATAGACTGCGCCACAGGGCTGTAGGAGATTTGAGCGTAAACTATTAGTTCAGTTAGATTTTTTTGGACCTGGAGCGTTCCAACTATGTAGGAGTACAGGTAGCAGTATGAGAACACTGACGATAGGTGGAGGAGGTGATTGAGCTGAATTTCACCCACGAGATGATGACAGGAGACGGATGAAGTGGGAGAGCAACACTTATGTGAAATGAGCGCTGTACAGGAAAAAATACGACATAATAGTAATAATAAATAATACATGTTAAAATAAGTGGGGAGCTAACCGAGTTACCCAGAGCCCCTTTATCCCGGATCAGCGCATCCAAATAACAAAGTGGTGCAGATGGTGGAAAATGCGAAGTGTTGCAGGCGGAGAGCCAAATTTAACAGAAAATTAGAAGAGCTTCGTGTCACCCGGACGACCCAACTGGTATATATTATATGGTTAAACAAGCGAATGTATATCCTGTATGGCACTCGTGTGTGAGTGCGCGTGGGATGTTAATTCGACAGGAAATTCGTGACCTCTACAGGATGCGACAGGATCGCAGATGAATAGTGACAAGAAGCCATAACTATCGAAAACGCAGTCACCGATAAAGGTCAAACGTATGTGAACCCCGAATTGTGCTTAATTCTTTACGACTTAACTTGCCCCTCAATACCTCAAGTGTTATAGATTCGCGATGGAATACGTTCTCCCTGCGCTTGGCATTATAAAGAGGAGACGTTAGTGCTTCTATATTACGGAAAAGGTGACAAAAGAACGGAGAAAATGAAAAACACACCATGAGGTCTGTACTGCAACGTGAGGGTAACAGGATTCTGAGCATTTTTAAGAGTTTCTGCAGCCTGAGAATGCGTTGCGTTTCGCAGAGAACGACCATTTACTTCGAGAAGAACGTCGCCCTGAATTTATAACTTCTGCAGCTAGCATAAAAGCTGGATAAATAGATCAAAAACTCATTGTCACTGCTTCTCCTCACCTTTCTGACATTACCGCTTAAATCAGCAACACCGCCTGGTAAGACGTAGCTAATATAGATCGGTTCGTTATCCTCACCACCAACAATGTTAAAGCCGAGTCCCTGAAATTAAAACAATAATGATGCAAAAAAGTATAACGGTACTTTCATCTCGACAATTCATAAAATGAAGCCGTCGATCGTGTCTCGTCCTCATCTCGTGCTGTGCCCAAGAATCTTACCCACTATAACACTTTTGTGAAGAACGAAAAAATAAGGAAAATTACAAAGGCAAGCAAGAAATAATCCGTCACTACAATAACAAATGAGTAACCGTGCCTGATTTCCTCGGTAGAGTGGTACAGGTCTGGGATCCATTGTAATCGGAACTTGTTGAGGCGCTACACCCACTCCAATCGGAGTTGCTTGAGGTCCACCGTATGCTAGTGCACTTTGTGAATCGAATGAACGATTGAAATCTTGCATTGAACTAGCTAAAACGGAACCCATTAGTATTCTACACACTTTAAGACTAAATTTCTTGAGCACCACACGAACACATAAAAAAATGGAGGAGACTCACATCTGATTGGTGTTGTCTGAGGATATTGTGGAGTGGATGCAACATACTGACGGCTTGCAGTTTCTTCAATTGAGCTGACATTCACATTTGGGTCTGCTTTGAGCACCAACAATGTGACTTTCGTGCCGGTTCGCTTCAATACATCGACGGCATACTCATGTGTAACATTCTCAAGTCCGATGTCATCGACCTGAACGAAATTCTTTTTTAGGAAGTACATCCTAGCCATTTAAAAGAGAAATATAGATTTTATGAAGAAATATCTCACAGCTAAAATTCTATCTCCGACACCGAGACGCCCATCATGATATGCAGCTCCTCCATCAATGATCTTTGTAACATAAATATCAGTATCTCCTGGTACGTGCTCATTGCCTACACCACCGGCGATCGAAAAGCCCAGACCACGTTGTCCCTTTAAAAAAGTAATTAGTTTCAGATGAAACTTTGATCATCAGAGGGTGATGATTTTCGAGACCATTTCAAATTTCAAATTACCTTGTAAAGATCGATGGAATGCGCTAGTCTGGCTCTAGAACTCAAGCCCATTGGAGGTAAGTTATGAGCAAGATGGACTTGAGAGCCTCCATGTGCTGGCGGAGGAGGTGGTGGATAACTTGGAGGAACACTAGGCGATTGCGCAGTACTTAAAAAGATTGTGAATATCTAGCAGTTTAACTCAGACAATAAGCTCAAACAAAAAGAACACATCCATAACAGAGCAAATCATTCAATCACCCTTCGAATCCACGAGACACGTTCAGGGCTCCTAATGATGATGTGATGTCGCTTCTGTTTAGGTCGCTTCTGTTCAAATGACTTGCTGAGCCCAGAGAACCGCCGGTTGTAATGGGAATATTTACCTCTTCTCGACGACGTTTGAGCGTCTGAATTGAATCTACTTTTTGACCGATACGCTTTGAATGAAATATTTCAATTGATCATACAAGAATACAATCTTGTGGAGACCGCCTAATAAATCTGCCAAAGGGCGTTTACAGAGAACAGCGTCAAGAGCGTTAAGCGTCGACATTCGACTCTGTTAACGGCGCCGGTCGTTGACCAATAAAGCACGGCTTGGCGTTTAAGATTTTTTTGATTGAATTTTCTAGCTTTGTGTTTTTCACTTATACTCGTTTCTTTATGGTATATGAACTTGTTTTTTTTTTCGATTTCGGTTGCAGAACGGTACTCATTTGGTAGTATTATTACCGAAGTGATTGGCCTGGTTATTTTAGAAATTTCAGAAAAATACCACAGTTCAACGCCAAGGCCGTCAGTGCCGGCACTGACCGCCCTTGCGTCCAACCGTGTCCAGTCGCCACTGACAGCCTTTGATTGAAGCATGCTATTTCCCAGGAATATACTTCCGTAAGAAGCAAAAGACGTATGCAGAATGGAACGACCTTGCATGACGCTAATTGGAAGACGCCAGAGCCTGCAGTGTGTTATTTCATATAGGACAATGTGATAGTCTGTCTGCCTGCCACAGAATTTTTTCATTACCTGAAGCACCTAGAAAAGTTTTGATCTGCATAGGATGGGACGGGCTGGAACAAGTCGAATATTTTCAGAATATTTTCAAGTCGGGAATTTGTTAGTTATTTCTTCTTTATGAAACAGCACTAGGATCTTGACACTGCATGCTCACGACCAAATGTTATAAATAGTTCACCCGCAACTTCATTTTTTGCAAGGAGTAAGTTGTGCGGACCTGTTGACAAAAAAAAAACTAGTACAAAACAGGAAAGGGGATGTTGGCTTTTCTATAATAGTAAAGGACCAAGAAATGATTTGTTGAAAGAGTAGGCAGTGAGGGGTGCGTACGATGCTATCGTCGAGAAAATAAGATCACGACGCACACGCGACTTGCGCAGCAAGGGTTAAGTATTGTTTGGTTTAACAAATCGGAATAATTGAGTGCACTTCACGTTGATTATAGTCACTTAAGCAATGAAAATAAGGAGCAATGGTGAATATTGAAAGCGTGTCGTGTAAACATATCTGAAGAAAAAGCTTCCATACGAAAAGAAGAACTAAAAGGATCAAAGTCTTGACGTCTTGAAAGGTAAGCTCATTTTCAATCCCTCCTTCGAATTCCCACGTGTCCCGTTGCATGCCACCGACAACAGACTATCTCAATAGCAATGGATCGGGACGACCGCGTGCACGGCGTTACCACACTAACTCAACGATAGGATCGCACCACATCGACCAATGAGTAGTAGAAAACTGTCATCTACACACTCCATTACATCCACTCAAAAAGTAATAAAATATCCACGGGCGAGAAAATAATTTGAACCGTTTTGATAAATCGACGGTATCCTAAAGACATGTCACATTCATTAAGAATAAGTGACTCACCAGTCGTACCACGTTTCCTGCTGTTTTCAGGGCATTAACAGCAACTTCATGTGGTACATTTACGCATTCTGTATTGTTGACTTTCAAAATTTTGTCGTATTTCCTAAACATAGCAGATTAATTCCAAATTTAAAATTCGAAAACGGAACGCTATTGTTAACTGCATAGATAATGATACAAATATGAATCAGTCAGAAGTAAGTAATCTCACTTCATACGACCATCCGCTGCAGCAGCACCACCCATGATGATATTAGTGACATAAATTGAAGTATCGCCGTCTTCAGCCGGCTGGTCAGTTCCTAAACAAAATCAGTATTCAAAGTTCAAACTAATGAACAATGAGAAAAGGGATAAATGGAAAACTGAATCCAGTTGACTTTGGAGTCCGCACCTCCGGTAATCGAAAATCCTAATCCAGTTGTGCCCTTTTCCAACACAACGTCTTCAATTTCCCAAGTTCTGCCCATAATGTCAACCACTTCATTGACCTGTAATGAGAAACAATAAATTTTACGCAGGTTGGAGCAGAACAAATCAAAAGCTGTAGCAATGACCAATGTGTATATTATACCATTATCACTAATAATTAGTTGTCAAAAATTCTTACTCGAGTGGCAATATAACTTAGGTTTTAAGGTACGTTATAGCAGTATGGAACTAGTTCCAAATGAAAATCACTGTGCCTAGGGCTCAGTATCAAGCGGAAAATTTGGTAACAGATATAATTCATGTCATTAGTGTTCACCTAATTGTAAGAAATAAGGCAAAATAATAAGTCATCCAAATAATATAGCATATTTCTGACGGAACAAATCAAAAAGAAAGTTTAGATAGAGATAGAGAAATCTATTCAATTTAGGAACTAATAACTACAGGTTGAACAACGGTACAACAAAGAAGTATTAAGTTATTGTTCTCCTTATTTTCTTGAAGACTGCATTCATGAAAGCTGAAAGCTAATAAATCCAAGCAATAAAGAATAACAGGATGTAGATAAACGTTATTCTGGATATAAATGAGCCTGGATGGCACAGGAGATGGGCTCTAAGTTTCGAAACAGATACATCGAAATCTCACCGTCGATGACTGTTTCTGGGTACCGCCTGGTCCATCATAGCTACGAGTGGTTGTTTCGCTTGTCCAGCCACCGTCATTAGTCTGACAATAAATAAGAATGGTTATCATTATTCTGGCCTTGGAAAAGCACCACTCAAGATAACAAACGTAAACTCACAATATGACGCACTCTTTCATGAACTACATGACTTGAGGAGTAGGAACTTCCCACACTTCCAAGGCCATTCTATAATTACGTGCGATTACACCACGATAAGAAAACTAAAAAAGTCAAGGAACATATTAGAAACAACCAAAACCTCGGCAGTCGCTAGTGGAGCTGATAACGTTGATGTAAAAGCAGGCCTGCTTCCGATCAAAGAACCAAAGGGTGGGTGTGCATCTAAACGCCTTGCAATCTCTTTTGATTCTGCTATTTTCTGCGGGACGGTTTTTCGCTCGTTGAGTAGAGTTTCCTCATAGAATTCCTGAAGGTCTGAAACAAAAAGTACGTTACCTAGTTATCAAAAAGAATGATCCATGCATTATGTAAACAGGCAATGCAATTACCCAGAAGTGCTTGGAACAAACTCTTCTTAAATGTTGTTATGACACGCTCGATCGCTATTCGAAGTTCATCGTCTCTTGGATCAACAAGAAGAGCGTGATAATCTTCTAAGAGCTCCAATGCACGATACGCTTCTGAAACAAACTCAGACCTCAACAAATTATTAAATCGAAGGCATAGTGTTCTGGAGAATTAACTATCCCTGTGTTTAAAAAAAAGAAAGTACATGTTCGTTTTAGGACGGACAAACGAACAAACCAACGGCGCTACTGGTGAACACCAAATTTTATGGTATTGTTTGCTACTAAGTGTAATCTGATAAGGGTTTTCCCACGTGAAAACACTCGATTAATTACGACATTCGTTCCGTAATTTCTTACTCGTGACCTTCTCTCGTAAAACAACAGGCACAACTGGAGCCGCTTTTAAAATAGCAACAATGATTCTAGTTGCTCGTGGACTAGCAAAGAATTCTGTTGGGGAACTTAATAGCCGCCATAAATCAGGATCGGAGACTGTTCCAAACGCGATAGGCAGAACCATACTGAGCAATTCAGGAGAATCGTGGCGTTGGCCGAAAAGACTTTCATCTCACTATTGAATATAGTAGAAAGACAATAACGAAGAGTATGAAACCTAACAAGGGGCCAGCAATTTGTGAATGAATCAATTAACTAACGACAATCACGCTCTTGAATCTATTTAGCGATAGAACTCTCGGATATTGGTGGATTGGCTCAACACAAAGAGCTGTTTACTGGAATTCTTCCGTTACGTTGAGATTCTGTAAACCAGTGACCCGGGTTTCTACCTGTGCCGAACAGAATTCACGTTGATCCCTTAATGTTTTTTTAGACCTCAAGATGTTACAGAATGTTAATGCATGATACTTTGCCTCCCACTTGATCAGATTGTATTGCATCTACAAAACAGAAGGCAATAAACAAAGCATCTCAAAGCGGAGAATACTGCTGGACCTCAGGAATGAATTCATCATAATGGAAAAGGTAAACGTATAAGGCAAACAAGATAAAAAAGTATCTTCAGGTAATTAAGGAACGCTAAAATACGATGAGCAATTCTCTCCTAACTATTCGATTACTCGCAAGTAGTGAAGTCATGCAAAACGTTTAAAAGTGTAAAAGTAACAAACAATACAGGATCTGAGGAAAAAGCGTACAGCTCTCTCGCAAAGGGACCGTACAGAATACTGTACAACATAGTGTGTTGTTGATCTTTTCGTTATTCACAAGGGAGCAGATGAACTCAAGCCCTTTGCGTTGAATAACTTGGTAGCAAGCGCCGCTACAGGGATGACTAACGCCGCTGCATTGATTTTGTATAATAGAACTGAACTCCGGATATGCTCTACTTGCCGAAATTTCTCCATCAGCAGACAATATTCGAAAACCGCTATATTATAGTTTGACCAAACGGGTGCCGTGGTGAATATTTGTGCGAAAAAATCTGAAGGACTGGTGAATACAACCACTACATTGACTACGCAATTATCGACAATACTGGACATTTCCTTTTGAAACAAGCTAGAGAGGGAAGAAGACAATATCGGAAGCAGCTGTGGGACTCCAGGGAAAACGATGCTCACAGCGACTTGGATTGCGGTTCAGTTGTTGAAGATTCGGAGTCAACCCATCAATACTCTAGCTTCACTTCTATTCTTTGGCAATAACGGTGGGCTGGCAGTGTTGCAGTGTTTCTATCAATGAACTCTTATCTGATCTAGACATTCAAAAAACTACCCTAGTCATGAATCATTTCGTTCAGATTTTCGCAAGATCCCTGTCTCGAAAAAGTCGTAGGCCCTAACTTATTAGACATCAGCTCAAATTCACTTCTTCGTTAGAAATCCAGATCGGCAATTTAGCAGGTAACGTACGCCCATTCTAACATTGAATGTTAAACATACTACATGTTATTCTGCGGTATACGGTGAATGTGAAAAAAACTTGACTATGGGTGAAGCCATTACAGAAATATCGCGTCTCTTCATCGCTAGATCGGCGACTTAATGATCCTTGCAAATCACCGAATGATCTCGCGAGGACCAAGGACAAAGCGCATGACTCAGCGGGGGAAGAGGCTGAGCCAGATTTAGGTGACCGTCGACGAATAATCGTTATTCTCACCTCCAGACTGGCGTACCGGCATCGTGGGTCTAGGCAGAGTCTAGACAACGCACTTGCAGTCGCTAGCACAAAATATGTCCCTGAAAAAAGATTAATTGACATAGTTGCCGAATAAGTGCAAAAGTAGACACGACGTCAGAGGTACTTGACTAAAATGCAGGCGAACAGCGACGCCTCACACAATTGTAAGGCCATTTGTCGCCACCACCATAGAACACATAAGGCACACACAACGTATTTCGCTCTAGCAATGCTAATTCGATGATTCATAAATATTGATCATTTTTGCCTATATAGGAAAATAAAACAAACGCAAGTCTTCTTAGATATAAAAAATCAAATGATGTTTCTTTTTGCTAGCCGTTCTTCCGGTCAGTATGTCTGTCTGCCAGCAAGCTTCCAGTGATCATGATAAAGGTGAGGTTATGGGAAACCTACCGCGAACCGAAATAGTAACACAGTGGGAGGAAGCTGACGTTGAGAAGCAAAAAGCATCAACACATGCAAGAGAGCCTAAAAGGCAAGAGATTCTAGTATGAGTTTCTGGTGTGTATTAAGTGGTATATCGGCCGGGAGAAGGAGTGAAAACGTAGCTGAAGGGGACCACGAAAACACCATGCCCTTGCCCAAGGCCTATTTCGATCTGTATAAGTGACGAAATTGGGATATTTGTGATCAAATGTACCTATGTCTATGAAATAAAGTTGTCCGTGCAGATCGTCCAAAGCATTTTATTCCACCATGCGTTCAACCGGGTTGTAAGAATGGATTTTTCCTCTTGCAGTGTGCGAGCCTGTAGGACTGGTTAGGTAGCGGGGTGAAATTCAGTTTGAAGACGACTTCTCTGTACTTTGCATATCTCGAAGTATCGGCGGTAAAGGCACCAGATTTTTGAGCCTCAAGTACTATTTGCAAAATTCTAACTCGAAGGAACCGAGTCTTTTGTGTATGTCTAGGGAGGTTGGGGCACCGGAATGAGTGAAATAATGGATTGTTGCGAAAAGTTGGCCAGTTGGACACTACTGAGAGAGCACAGTTAAGGGCGCAGAACCAGTGCATCTCCTCTATTATCTATTCGATTCTGAGTCAAAACAAATGAGTCCTTCGCTAAACTTGAGCAGGAGAGTGGTACCAGACTGGGTGGAAGCGGAAAAAATTGGAATTAAACAGCGATTCCCTGACAGGATCCGTTAAGATAGCGCAGAAAAGAGCGTAAAATTGCGTAACCTAACCCATTCCGTCCCCCATCAGGTTTTCACTCACGGGGGCAGCCATTAATAGATTTCTTGATGGCTATCTCTAAAAAAGGTCTTAAAGCAATATTGAGAAAAACAGCAATTACGGTAATACCAAGGTCTACGACTCGTTCAACGGTAAAACAAGTAAAGGAATGGAAACAAATGTGAACTTCGAGAAAATGAAATTTTGATAGAATTCACTTGGTTTTTGAACCAGACAAAAGGATGAAGGGAATGATTACATCTCTAGGTAGATGAAAATGTTCTCTTTTATGTAGACCTAGCTACCAAATTTTGAGATGGAAATTCGTGAGAATAAGAGAGACGATAAAGCACTTTTACGCTCTTGAAAGAATTAAAATATTCTCAAGAACTCTAAGTATCGCCCTATCTTGCTATACTCACATTCCTGAAAGAGTAGGAGTTATAAGCACAACAAATGACAGAGGAAAGTTAAGCTTGAAACATTTCAATAGGTAGGTTAAGTAGGCTGTCAGAACGGATGCGAAGCCCAAGGACTTCCTGAGTTCATTCAGTTGGTTGTAAATAACGAAAGGAAAGCACCCATAAACCTGGAAGAGTCAGTACTTGAGACGTGGAGTGGTGTAATAGCTGAGGAATTTGCACTTTAGCATAAAACGCGAAAACACGTGTGGAGCGCTCTGTAGATGGATAGACTACAATCACCAAAGGAGACAACCAGCCAGAGAATAGCTACGAATCAGATTAAAAGCGATGAGACATCAAAACGCAACGAAAGTGATATGATGTGAGCGACAAGTGGGCAGAACTGATCGGATAGAGGGATGTTGTAGCGCGTTTTGGCATCAAGCACTCATCACACTACCTCCAGCCCGATCCCACCTCCGATGGATCAATAATCCCAAATAGGGAGCTGCGAAGGGTCGCAAGAGGAGACGTCGTGGGCCATTACAGATGAGCGCAGATAAGGACAGGTACACAGGCTGTTGGAGAATGAAGGGGGAACTCTCGCTGTCTGGGCTCTCACCACTCTTGCACTGCGTCTCTGGCCACCACCGCATACTTTCCGGCGACAACCTGCGACGACCTCCACAGGCGGTCAAACAGGCCGTTCGGACGGCAAGCAAAGAGGGAGGTAAACATTAAAAGTCCCAGAACGGCCAGGGAAAGAAGAGCCTTCTACAGAGTCCGGAGATAGTGGCTATTACTTCGTCGCTAGAAACCCATGACGGGATCAGCCTTTTCGGACGTTCAGGCCAAAAAAGGAACGAAGCTCGGCAGTGTTGCATTGAGTGATGACTGAGACTCTGGGTGTAGCGATGGGCAAACATGAGCGAATCGGCTTATCATAGAATGGAATTCACCTCGGCAAACAGAGGGACCGTGGCGGGGAGGGCAGACTTGGGACGCCGTTGGTGGACCGAAAGCAGTTGGACTCCTGTAACAAGCAACACCTCTACGCTAAGCGGCGTGTGTGTGCGCCACGATGGCGGCGTTCGTCCTTGGCACTGAGCCATACCCCACCCATCAACTGCCTATTCTCGTTCGTTGACCTTGGCTAAATATAGGTGCCCTGCATGGAAAGGTACTGTCTTTCGGATCAGCTTTCTATGCTAAGTGGCAACAGTTTAGGTCACTGCAGGCGAATCCACGACCACTTCTTCACCGAATGATCCCCAAACCCCATCGAGGGACTTGATGAGGAGCTGTCCTGTCTAACTGGTCTCACACTTCAAAAAAAAGTCAGTGCCGGGGTGCTACACCACCTACGCCTTTATCCAATGTTTATATTTGGGAAAAAATTTGGATAGCATTCAAGTACTAAGGAACCCCGGCTATTTTGACGGTCCTATAGTTATGAGCAAGATAAATCTTCGATTATGAATTCCAAATTTTCGATGGGGTGGAAGGTGCGCAGGTGAAGGAAAGCAAGACAGGTGGTGGGGCTGACTATTGAAGAAGAAGTGCAAATGCAGAATAATTATAAAAATATTAATGAACAAATCGTATTGTCAAAGCAAGTGGGTGTCGTGATTTACCCAACGGGTGCTCAGGAATTCAGGGAACGCCGATGCTTGTCCACGTCTCGGTTGCGTCTTCTCAAGAGGCATAACCGAATAGCGAAAGTAGCGCCGAGTAGTGTAAGAAACCCAAGCGGAAGACAATCGTTAACGTT